CATTTCTCAAATCTATGAAGAAATTATATTTTTATTATTCATTTTTTAACAATTGAGAATTCTCAGAAGAAATATTTTACCTTCATTTCCATCTGGCTGAAGAACAACGTCTCTTACGAGGACTGGGCATTGATCGCCTTCAAACCAATCGAAATCGTATATTCCTTCGACATTTCACCAACCATTTTCCTTTGCTAACATTTGCTAACTAGCATTTTTCCAAATATTTAAAATGTAGGCAGCTCGTTGAACATGTTTCTTCAGTTCGGCTTCGGATGGTGATAAATTCGAAGCATCTACATTTTTACTTTTTATTTTAAATAAATCATCCGTGTCCTTAAACGTATACGTTTTTGAATATTGCGAGTCGAGCTTCATTCACAGAGCTTATGTTTTTCAAGCTATATAAACTACAAACGAATTGTTGTATTTTATTGAATACGAGCCTAAAATCATAACTATTGATATCGCTCAACTCAGCAAAAGCTCGCTGGAATTCGTCCGACGCTTTCATAATACTAAGTGGACGTTTCTTCCCTTTCTTGAAAAATGCCGGATTATAGTATGCATGTAAACCTGGTAGAGCAGCGCAAAGAGGTTCTTCGAGTTCCAAATATAATTTGCTTACATCGATGTGACGTTTATTATTTACAACGCCGACTTCCATCCAAACATTACATAGATTGTTTACATTTTAGAAATTTGCAAGCAATATAACAAGGATGTCGGTATCGGAGCATTTGATTTATCAGTTGTTGTTATATTGCAAACATGGTAAACAATTTTTGTATCAGCCTCGTCGTGTGATGGACAACTGAGTTTCATCTATTGTCTTTTGTACTTTATCTACAACTTCAAATTTGTAGCAATAATCTAAATTTACATATATGGTTTTAATTCCAATGTAAGGCGCCATTTCATCTGTTCCCCAATCATTTATCAAAAACTTGACAAAAGCTTCCTTGAATTTTAAGTTTCGAAGCTCTTTAACAAAATCTTTAGGTCGATTCTGTTCTCTTCCTGTGATAACATAATCAAGATCCCCAGCTACGGCTTGTAATATTTGTTTAGATATATTACCAAATGTCAAAGGTATATCTTTCAATAAGTACAAGAAGAAAACCCATCAATGATAATTATATCTAGGTAATTAGGTTCTGCACTTTCGATCTTTTTTTCTAATGTTTTTAGCAAAACCGACTTATCGGTTTTACAGATTGTAGCGTATAGATAGCGTAGAGACAAGGGTACAGGCGTTAGAGGGAACGATAACACTTTTTCTATATCAATTTTTTGATCAAGTGCAATTGCAAGAAGACGCCCGAAAAGATCACGCTGCATACGGATTTCTTGAACTTTGTTATTAATCACAACCTTTTGTTTCTTCAGTGTATTTGCGAATGTGAGAATTTTAGTTCATTTTATCGGTTTTTCGAAACGATTTCCATCTTCAGAGCATTCTAAAATGAATTTTCTTCTGAGATCATCTCCAGTATTTTCTGTTTAATAAAAAGTTCGAAATTTCAATAAGGACAGCTCGTCCACTTGAAATATTAAAAAGCTCTTGTTTTTCAATACTAGATGAAAATGGATTCATGTTACATGAAATTCTTTCCATCAAGTTCTGCAGATGCTTCTTATTTTTTGTCATCCTACTCTTTTCTAAATCTGACGTAACATCCTCATATTTTTTCAAGCCAGTTTGTTGCAAAATTGTAAAACGTGAGAAATAATCGACGAACGGATGCTATAGCTCTTACACCATCGTTGACGAGCCGCTAATGAGTTAGTGAAATGCAATATGCCTTGCAGTTTATTAGCTGCATCTGCATTAATTGTTTGTTCCAATGTAAGGTCGATGGGTTGTCAGGAAAAAGATTTGTCAGTGCGTTTAATTCCAAACGATCCTTGTTCAAGAACTTCTCTTAAACCTTAATGAGTTTCATCAACTTGGCAGAGGTTATAATGGTGTGAATTAAAACCCCCAGATAAATACATCCGCGTGCGCTCTATACGCTCACTTCCGATGACTGCTGACTGGCTCTGTCACATGAAATCGAGGTCTGACTTATTTTTTCATCAATTATACATGAAAATAAAAAAGCCCACAAATGTTCAGCCTTTAGAAAACTCTTGCGACGATGTAGACATTTCTACAACTTCGGCGCCTTGCTGACTTGCAGCATCACTTAGTTGTGCGGTCTGGCCACTACCTCTCGGATTTGCATATTAAAATAAAGTTACGAGTAATTACCAATTTTCAACCATTAGAAAACTCTTGTAGTGTATGTACTGATTCTACATAGTTCAAGGCGTACCGCCGCTGAACGCAGCACTACCTAACTTTGCGAGTAGGTGCTGACTCATGTACACCCTCAATACTATGGTATGTAGAAAAATTAGCCTTTAGAAAACTCTTGCAGAATTTGCCCGCCAACTCTCCGACTATAAGGTCTCAATCTCACATGACAATCTTTCAATATCATTTCGCGCACAGCATCAATAGTTTCCAGAACAACAACTGATATTGAACGACCTTCACGAAATTCGTCTTGGAGCGATCTACGTCCTCGATTGAATTCACCATACCATCGATAAACACTGGTCCTTGACGGAGCTTCATCGCCAAAAATTGAATTAAGTTCATCGATGCACTGTTGCTGAATTAATCCACGTCGAAAGTTGTAAAAAATAATCGCACGAAAATGTTTACGATTTAATTCCATTTTTTTGGCCGAGATGAATCTTTTAAGTTGCTGTAAACAACACAAATAGCGCTCGTATGTCAAAACGTTCTGAGTATGCATAATCTCAAAATTGTCAAACTACGACAAAGCTGTCAGTTGCCAGTTTACAATGCGCTGGTTCAGTGATGATGTAATTATGGTTCCACTGACAATTAAAGTGACAGTAGATTTTTTGAGTGCGTTTTGTTCGTTTTGTTTACCTAAATTATATCGTTTTTTCACTTTTATAAATATATTTCTAAAGTAAGTAGATGACATGCATCAAATATACAATTGTTTAGTTACCAATTACATACCTTTAAACTATTTTTTGTGAACTCTAAACAATATTTAGAAATAAACTAAAAACAGTAAAAACGTATATGTCAAATTTATTGATGTTTTTGTTAAAAGTTTGGTTAAAATTAAGGGTATGGTCCGTTATTAACCGACTACTAACCGCTAGTAACCAGGATTTTTTGGCAGCGGTTCCTGAAAAAAAACTAATTTCTTGGTTACTTTTGGACCACGGCCGAGATTTACGTCACTTTTGTGACAGATTGACATTCGACTTAATAGTAACCGTAAAAATATAGCGGTTAGTAAATTGACGTTTAAGTCACCATTTTTCAGGTAACCGCGTCCCTAAATTAACCGATTTTTCAGGAATGTCAAGTAGAGCGGTTAGTTTTGGACCGAGTAACCGATATTTCGGTTAATAACGGACCATACCCTAAATGTCAGTGGAACCAAAATGACATCACACTGAACCAGCGCATTAGGCATTCCAAACAAAATGGCTACCAGTGGGTTTTGGCAGGTTATGATATAGCAAAATTATGGCAACCCTGTAGGCCTGGTGATTTGACAAGGTCAATGAAATAGATAGTTACATAGATTGATCATCCATATTTTTTAAAATAAACATAAGCCTATGCCTTGAAGTAAAAATGTAAGTAATTGTTTTTTACTATAATCAAAGGCTAAATATTGGTTTGTAAACACATTTTTGCAAAATCGATTCTGATTAATGAGCACTTGCGAGGCAATATGGCCGCTTGCAAACGATCAGCTTTGAGCAATCTACATAACTATATATGTATCATTGACCCTGTCAATGTCAACAAGCTAACAGGGTTACCATATCTAAATGTCAGTACCCACTTCTCAGCAGTTTTACAAGTCGTTGGAATGCCTAATACTAGAGTTGTCCAATCCCAAAATATAAAAGGCAACCCTCGTATTTATGTGATTTTTAAAATAATGTTTTTATGAAATTTATCTACTTTAGTCTAAGTTTACTATATTTTTAAGTTTACTTTGAAACCTTAATACTGACAGTTCGCTATTATTAATTTCAATAGTGTTGCAATATTTTTAAAAACAGTCTAGCCAGTTGTTTTTAATATGACCTTTAGTTGTGAATGAGAGAAGTATTTTGAGTGTTACTTAGGAAATCTTTAGAAATGGGAGTTGGACCTTTGAAAACCACATTTAGACCTCCATAAATATTATTGCAGACTACTTAGAGAAACTTTTATAATTAAATAAAATCACAATAACAATAAAGTTAGAATAAATTAGGTATTATGAGAAGTTTTTTAGTTGCTATTTTTTTTTATTTTTCATGTAAAAGTCACATTAGGTATTGTCAAAAACTTATTCAGTCAGTAAATCTAATTTCCAATCAACAAATAAGTGACCACTTAAAATTAAAGTATTTTGTTAATGATCTTTTTCTCATTTAAATTTTCAAATCCCCCAACTCAAATAAAACTTTAATTAAGGTACTTTTAAATGGTGATATAAAATACAAGGTGATCAATTTAAAAAAATTAAAAAATGATGTATTTGAATTTAACACACCTTGTACATATTTGTTTCGAATTAAAAAAAGTAGTGTTTCGGCATATGTTGATTAATATCGAAAACCTTTTGCCACAAAAAAATTGGTTTTCAATTGTTTCTTTTTCAGTGTACAGGACATTGAAATCAATATGGTTTTTATATAAAACTGGTTATAGCTTGTGAAATAACCTATATAATATAATTATTGTTATAATGAGAAAAGTGAGGGCTATTCAAATATACAATAAAATACAGTGTGTCCCATTTGAAAAACATAACTTTGATATGTATCATTTTTAAATTGTTGCCTTTTTCTGATATAAAAAACAAAATATTTTTGGCTCTACAAGACCCTATAATATATGAATTCGATTCTACATAAAAAAAATAGATTCATTTTTAAATATTTCGGTATCTATTTTACAGAATACGCTTGCGTAATGGTCGACGGCCAAAAAGTGATGATACCCAAAAAGATGATCAAATCTGAATACCTGCGAACGCCCGCGACATCCGACAACGCCGTTTCGGCTTCGGCCAAATCCAGATCTGGCAGCTCGAGCCCCTTCGCCGAAGTGAACGTTCATTACAACGAAACTGACGGACAATCCGAGGTCAAAATCGAACAGAAAGTGGACGCCGAATGCGAAGAGGTTCACGAAGAGAACGATTTCAGTTCGCATTGTTCGGCCGCCGGATCGTGTTTTTCCGATGCCAACGCCGAGAGGAGCAGGTTGTTTATATTCCCGCAAGCTTGTCCTGGATATGAAGTCATTCAGGGAACCGATGCGACCGAATTGGACGACGGACTTGAATATGCTTGGTCTAAGTCAGGTAAGTTTTTTTTCTGTCAATTAAATATAACAATGCATCGGAAATTTTTGTCCTGTTTGCGTAAAATCGATAAATAAAAGTATCTTTCTAAGAAAATCTCCTTTAATTCATTTAAAAGCAAATTGGTATTAAAATATTATTGTTTATAAATGACAGTGACACTCAGTTAACGACCAATAGTGACAATATAACATATTTGAGCTTGCACATTGACAAACATTTAAATTGGAAAAATCGCTGCGAATAACTAATATCCAAATTACATTTATTGTCATATCAATTCAGAAATCTTATGGTGTACATTTTTGGAAGTTTTCTCCTCATTTTTGTATCTCTCAAAAGACGATAATTTGTTCTAGTGATGGGTCGCTTGGAAAGTCCGAAAAGTTGACTAATCCAAGCACACTTTTCAAAATGGAAAACTGTATTGTGCATGCAAGAAATTAAAATAACTAATTTCTTACAAAGGCAAAATATAGTTTAAAAAAGAGAAAACGGCAAATGATTACTGACTTTTATATATCTTTTAACGATTTTTTTCGAATTTTCTTTTCATATATTATTAAAATGAAAACATGAAAAAATTACCAAAAAATTGAAAGGTTCTACAAATAATTTGCCCAAAAAAACAACAATGCAAATGCAAATATTGTTCCCAAAGTGTTTTTGAAAAAATATACAGGATGGAGATTTAACTAAGTGTCTTTTATGCCCACGGTTGACTACTTTTCATTGTGACTTTTCCTTACTTTTCACTACTTTTCCAGACATGTCCGTAGCATAGTCCAAAACTTGTAGAATAACCTTTGAACAGTTAAACATTTTAACATTACTGTGCCTTTTAAGTTACAAGCTATATCTACTTGTCTTTAATAACAAACTGAAACAAAAAAACAACGCAACTCATAGTCAATAGTCAATACCAGACAAAAAGAAAATTATTCGGTACCTTCCAGTATCACCACCCAGCAAACATTTTGGTGTAATTTGACGTCGATACTACCTAAATTATATATAATAAATTAATAATAATAATAATAATAATAATAATAATAATACTCTCCCTAATTCACCCCCTTACGAGTGAATTTTAACCCCAAAAGCTGAGCTTGTCCGGGGAAAAGGGACGGCTATTATTATTATTTGCCGTGGCGCTCCGGGGCGACTTAAAGATTATTGATGGTGCCATTTGACTTACAGGTGAGGAAAACCCGGAAAACCTCACCCACCATCACAATTTGGTCGCAAAATTAGATTTAACCATAATTAAGTAAAATTTACGTTGGCTCGACGTAGATTCGACATAAGTGGAGAATAAGACGACGCACACTGGGGCAACAAGCCATCAAAGTTGGCATTAAATCACAGACTTTCTTTATGAATTTGTAAGTTAAATATTGCTTTGTAGAGGTGTTAGTATTACAAATGAAAATACATAGAGGGCATATAAAGTGTTTGTTTGCTAAAAAAATTGAAAGTTATTAAGAATATAATATAATAAAAATGTATATTCTATTATTAATATCTTTCTATTTTTTTTTTTTTAGCAAATAAACACTATAAGCCTTCTTTTGTAATACTAACATATAATATAATAAAAATGTCATGAGCCTAATGAGGCCTAAGTGCCATGGGGGTAATCCACTCTCCACACGTTAAAGATACAAATAATAAAAATGTAATATTATAATAATTTCATTTAGAAAAGCTATGATAATTGTAATCAAATTTCATCCTCTTTAGAATGTGATAAGACATTTTCTTCATTGTCTCCACAGTCATCATCAGATTCATGAATATACCATGGCTGTGAAGCTGGACGAGTCCAGATTTAAACAAATGTACTGCTTCTTTAGGAAAGTGCTGCAGGTTCTTTCTTCTTTAATTTTTGTTTGCTCGTGATTACAAGGTCGAAACTAAGTAAAAACGAATTAAAGACGTCCCCATTAGTTTTCTCTGTTAATTGGTCTCTAGGCAACAAAGCAGAAGATATTATTTCAGGCCCATGTATAAAGTATTTGTGAAATGTCGGAGGCATATTAAGCGTGGGTACTTTTCAACAAAGTATCTTAGCGGTGTTGTGAGCAAATTCTATTAATTTCATTCTTTCCAGAACTTCTCATGATATTAAGAAGTTTCTTTCTCGATAAAAACATTGAGTCCAAATCGGTCAAAAACTAAAATAGCAGCGTTGCAAAGCATACTAATGTGTTATTATAGGCTTCTATGAAAACATAAAAACCAGACAACTTTGATTGTCTATATCTTACGATTGAATGGACCAATCGTACTCGGAGAGTTCTTAAAATAAAGAAAATAGGTTAGGTATTTAACTTTTGTTATTAGATTTTATATATAATTTATAACTATTACGCAAAATAAGCTTAAAATGGGTTACTTTTAGGCTCGTTTTTTTTCTTCAATTAGGTCGGCCATCTTAAATTTTTTTCATTTCTAGCATTTTGTTATGTCTGTCTGGGAGCATATTTAGTTGCCTATAAAATGAGCCTAAGGACAATAAAATCGATATATTAATACACGAAATATATTAAAAAAACAGAATTCTTTTTTGAATGATCGTCCCGCCATATATTTATATACTTTGAAAAAACCCAAATAGTGAAGAAAAGTGCAAATAAGTGCACAGAAACTAAACGATTTCGAAAAGTACAAACAATGTTCATTATGAAAAGTCGAAATTTAAAGCTTGATCTGCTTTGGAACACAACAAATAGCCTTCATGTATTTAAGAATATTTTAAAATTTTAACGTTTAACCGTCATTTTACTTTACTCCAATATTATATGATTAAGTTTATTTTTCCACAACTTTTTACTTATTAAAATAATAATACATAGCTGAACTTGAAGGTTCCGTGGCGGAAATTTGAAAAAAAAAATCAAAATACAGCCTAAACACAGCACAAAAACAAGTTAAAAACTACGAAATAACAATGAATATATACTCGCCTCAGATAAGTAACTTCGACCGAGGGTGGTGATGAAACGCGTAAGACAGAAGATCGCACTTGTTCGTTTTATTATGTAATGGACAGTAATATATCAGAAAAAAATTTGAGGTAGAGTGTATATGCTATTTAATTTTTTGATTTATTGCCAACTTTGAGGGCTTGTTGCCCCAGTGTGCGACGTCGAAATTTGGTTTTATTTACCAAAATAGGTAGAATTACATCTAAATCCACATTGTAGTAGCCCAGTACGTTTGGTTAGTAATACTTCTCTAGGGAAATTTGACGTCAGTATAACGTTAATTCGACGTTGATTTAACTAAGTTTAGGTAGAAACTACCAAAATATTTGCAGATGACGTATGCCTCCAAGTGTACGAAAAGAAAGTTTATACTTATTTGGTATTTTTATCTATATATAAGTAGAAATATTGTAACAAGTCACCAACACAACTAAAACATATACCTAATTCACATGAAAGATTGAAAATAAATAAATGTCGTTGACAAAAATATATGTAATGTAATTGCGGTGAATATACAGTTCACGCTTGTTGAAATTAATGCGAAGAAAATGTTGTCGTGCATGTTTACAGTTCTACTTAGAAAAATAACAATGCCCTTCCAAAATACTCTCTAATTAAAAAAATATAAGAAAAAAATATGATCGTGTAAAAAAATAATAATAATATGAGCTAAAACTATGTTACGTTTGTTGTGTATCACTTTAGAAAATCAATAATGTTTCGTTTTTCGGTATTTTCATTCGTATGTTCTAGTTATGGTCATTTTAAAAAATTTAAATTTGGAATCGTACTTCAATTACGTTAAGGACGAATTGGGCGAATTCGACCTAAAAGTTATTATGACTAAGGAAATCTACGTATTTTACAAATACCTTTTTACTAAGTTGAATTAACTTCAATTTCACGACATATTAGTTAACTTTACCTATTTAAAGAAATAATAACTTATAGGTTTTATAAAAAATTTACCTATAGGTAAATATAACATATGTAGGTCACGTTGTTCTGCACTTGAGATTTTAGACGTTTCACTTTACGATAAAAATCGGAAGTATAACGATATGATTTATTATTTTTCGAACTCATTTTATTAATTATTTTTCGCACTAATATAAGGAGGTCCTTTCGCCACCAATGTTAAATAGAAAATATCTAAAATTATTTTTTTTCTAATAGTAGATGTCCTTATTTATCTAATAGTGAACTTTTAACTATACCTTACCGTGCAAATTTTTGAGAAATTTTTTTTTTAAAAATGTGTGTGTTTGTACAGTCTCTTATGAGAAAGTAAGACTTCAACAACAATTTTCGAATTATAGTTAATTTTACTATTATTTATTGATTAGATGGAGTAGAAAAAAACTAAAAATAAGGTTTTTGAAATATTTAGGTTTTGTTTTTTACAATAAAATATATAGGTTACCGTGGAATTTATTGAGAAATTATTATTAAAAAATCACAAAAAATTTTCAACTAGGTTACTTGAAATTTTTTTGTGATTTTTAAATATTAATTTCTCAATAAGTTCCACGGTTTACTATATATATTTTATTGGTATAAAACAAAATCTAAATATTTCAAAAACCTTATTTTTAGTTTTTTTCTACTCCATCTAATCAATAAATAATAGTATAATTCGAGAATTGTTGTTGAGGACTTACTTTCTCGTGAGGCACTGTACAAATACTCATTAAAAAAAAAAAATTCTCAAAAATTTGCAAGGTAAGGTATAGTTAAAAGTTCAGTATTAGATAAATAAGGACTTCAACTATTAGAAAAAAATTAATTTTAGTCATAATCTAATAACTTTTTTTTTTAACATTTGAGGCGAGAGGTGTGGCGAAAGGACCTCCTTAAAGCTCTATCTACACCACACGTAAATTAAGATTACGACTGTAATGGTTTTTTTAAAATGGCCGAAATTCTTAAGAATAATGACGAAGACAGTAACTGAACAACCTAATTGTTAAAATAACCTAAATAATATAAATTTTACAAATAGGTCATGTATGACTCTTTTTAAATTGGTGGTTTTTAGTCGAATTTACTTTGTGGTATATTTTTCAGGTAATTGCTACAAAAAAGTTAATAAATATTTCTTCAAGATGACTTATAGGTCAACTAAATGAGTATTCGACTATTTGGTTGAAATTAGGTAGATAAACAGGTAGAATTTTGCTACGATCTCGACCTAATATTACTTTAAAGGAGAGTAAATAAAAGCGGACAAATAGGTTACTATGGAGGTATAAAATTACGTAGAATTTTTAACCAAATCTACCTAGTTGGATATTCTACTATAAAGACGATTTTTAGTTGCCAAACAGGTAGATATTACCTAAATATGGCACTTAATTTTACTACAAAGGAAATTTAACTTTGAAGTAATTGTTGGTTATTTTTTTTAGTAGTTTTTCCCTTGTTGATATGGTTAAAGTTACTTTTAAGCAGATTTGTGTAAAAGGTAGATTTCTTGGTATAATTTACGTAAATTTAAATATAAATTAAAACCGTTTGGTAAATTTACATTAGAGGTATATTTTTCTAGTCAATTTTACGTAATAATTACCTCAGTAAGTAAATTCGTCTTTAACAAAGTCGAGTTATAACTAATGTTATAGAAAATGTTTGCTGGGCAAACTGTATGGTCCCCAGATTATACAATAATCTGCCAATAATTTGTCATATATTGGTTCCGTCTTAAATGAGTCACTGCATTTGATGACCTAATAAAAGAAAAAAATATTAATTTGGACTATTCCCAATTTTTTCTTTTTTAATAATTTACAGACACGCATTACGCTTTTTGTACAGAATCGAAGAATACTTTAAAGTCGACCATATCGCATCCGCTCATCCAGGATCCGCTCATCCCGGATCCGATGCCGCAAATTTCGACATCTAAGACTACTGGTAACAACCCGTTCACCAGCGACAACATCCCGCACGTACCCAACTACCAACAAACTCCGCCTGATGAAAGACGAGCCCCGTCCTTAGACGAGATTCGTGCTGCTTTCGAAGCGAATAACGAAACCGCGAGGATGCACACGCCGGAAGCCGTGAGATCGGTAAGTAATAATAATAATAATGCAATTTTGGAAATGTAAAGATATGATCCCAAAATCCCCAATTCCCCCTACGAAATTAAGAAGTTCTCCACATCCCTAAAGTAAAAGCAAACTAAAGAAAAATTTAGAAAACAGAAATAGAACAAAGAAAAACAGGGAACCGGTTAGAGATCTAAGTTGAATCGAACTTGGATCTTCCTAGCATAGCCCTCTGCGCACACCGGCGAATTTTTGGAAATTCTTGGTCATAATATATTATATAAGCAAATGAACCAGTTTGTATTCTTAATATCAAAGGAAGTCATTAAAGTGCAAAAACAATGATTTTGTGAAAAATACAGTATTCATAAAAAATATGATATGAAAAAAAAGCTAACTTTTTAAAAGGTGATTTAACATCTATGGTGTTTTATTAAAAATGTTGAGTAAAAAAATATATAATGGATATAATACAATTTTAATTCTTTTAACTAAATCTTAAAAAGCTATATGACTAACGCAAACACTGTCTTCTGCATCTAGTTCTTTGATTGGTAATTTCGGCTCCTTAAAAAACTGAACTACTTTTGAAGGAAAAATTCGCAATTTTTTGGTTTCATGTCTTTTTATATTATTTATTGAAGGGTCTGAAGATATTAAGAGGGTTCTCTACCCATCAACTCGAACAATTTCATACATAACCTCGAAATCCACGTCCCTTACATCTTCGCTTAGAACATATATAGTCAGGAAGGAGCATGATATGTCCGCGTTAATCAAATCGCATGCCTCAAGATACTGTCTTGGGTCCTATCTTGTTTAATTTTATTTTAAATAATTTGTCGTTTAAATACAGTTGGAAATATTGTTTAAGTTTAAGTTTTTCAGACGACACAGTTATTCTGTAAAATGCAGAGAACTGGAATTGATTAAAATTATTAATAGAAACAGATCTTATAACATTTTTTGAATGGTTTAATTATGAAAACTTAAAACCTTTGATAAAACTTATGTTGTTCCATTATACAGTTTCAAAAAGATGGCCTCTTCCTATAGAAACTGTTGGAAGGTATGAAAGGTCCTTATATTAAACACACAGTGAATATCCTTTATAGTTCATTTATTAAAAGATAGCCGTAATTATAATGATGCTTATTAGTCGAGTGCTATTATATAACTAATCTTTACTGGATGTTATTGGTTTCAATAGGTCTTAAAAATACACATATATATTGTTGACAGTAATATGAAGAATAACCGACTCAGCTTGCTAGAAGGCCATTCTCCATATACCAAACAAACAGAATATTATTTTTGTATAACCAACACACCCCCTCAAAAATATATGAGTTTGAACTCGTTACTATACGGCTTACAGCTTAAGGCTTACGGGGAAGTTTAACAACTAATGATCCAACATTTATTGCAAGGGTTAGGGAAAACCCCATAAAAACCTAACCAGATCATGAATACTTAAAAATGAATGAATAACAATTTTAAATTCTAATTAGCAAGTTAAATTTAAAAAAAAAATCTTGCTTCTTATTTCTCTTGCATTCCCATCTTTTCTCTCAGTATCTTGAACTGCTGTGGTGGCAATGATTTTGTCAATAGATCGGCTTCTTGATCACCTGTGGACAAATATTTTAAGCAGACAATTTTGTTCTCTATTTGTTCTCGTGTGAAATGGTATTTAATGTCGATATGTTTAGAACGTTTATGATTTACTGGATTATTTGCCATTGCTATACAACTTTGATTATCTTCATATAATATTATTGGTTTAAACATATTGACATTAATACTAACTAACAAAGATTTAAGCCATAAAGCTTCCTTTACAGCCTCAAACACAGCCATGTATTCTGCCTCAGTTGATGAGGTAGCAACTGAGTTTTGTCGCCGTGTAATCCAAGTTACTGTACAATTATCAAAGAGTTTAAATAAACTACCTGTTGTACTTCGGCGATCTGCATCATTATTTGCCCAATCAGCATCAACATACCCTACTAATGTTTGTTCGTAATTATCAATACGCTTGTATACCAATTTTATGTTTATCGTTCCTTTTACATATCTTAATACCCGCTTTAAACATAACCATAGTTCTTTATTACATTTAGTTTGATATCTACTCAAAATATTTACTGCTGTACACAAATCTGGACGCGTACAAAGCATTGCGTACATTAAACAGCCAATTAAATTTCGACAAGGTGCATCATAATTATCATCTGAATTTAATGCAGCATAATTTAATTTTACGGGTAGTGGTGTACTGACGGGGTTACTTTCACTCATATTAAATTTGTGCAATATTGACTTTAAATATGTGGCCTGATCAAGTGAAATTTCAGAATTTGATTTATTTATTCTTATGCCTAGAAAATATTTTATTTCTTTTAAATCAATCATTTCAAATTGTTCCATTAAAAAGTTTTTAAAATTATTCATTGTATTTATATCTTTAGTTGAAATTATCAAATCATCCACGTATAAAATTAAATATATATTTTTATTAACGTCACCTCTATTCAAGAAATATAGACAATGATCGGATGATGAATTTACAAATCCTTTTTCAATTAATACGTTATTAAATCATTCGTACCAGCACCGAGCCGATTGCTTTAATCCATACAATGATTTATGTAATTTGCATACAAGGTTATTTTCTGGGACTACAACACCGTCAGGTACCTTCATATAAATATTTTCTTTTAAAGTCCCATTAAGAAATGCGGTCTTAACATCCATCTGATGGATTAATAGCTCATATTGATTTGCTAACGCAAGCATGCACCGAAACGTGCTTATACGAGCAACCGGTGCAAACTTTTCATCATAATCTAATACTTTTCTTTGACTAAAACCGCGCGCCACTAAGCGAGCCTTATACTTAACCCAATTTCCGTTACTATCGCCTTTTATTGTAAACACCCATTTACAGTCGACAATATTTACATTACTTGGCTTTTGTACCAATGTCCACGTTTTATTTTTCTCTAATGATTTTAATTCATCCTTGATGGCTTTTTCCCAGTCATTTCTGGATGCACTTTTAGCTACGTCTTGATAACATTTTGGAATATTATTTTCAAACATTTGATTACCTATCAAATAATTATTTATTTCAAAATTATCGTCTTTATAAGATATTGTTGGTTTAGCTTTTAATCTTTCACTACGTCTCATATCCTGCGTATTATTTAATTTCCTCAATTTATTTGAGGTACACGGACTTTCATCATCACTGTTAGAGCTCATACTTATTGGTTCAGGGACATCCTGTAAGGAGGATGTTTGACCTTGAATGCAATTTTCAGGGACACCTTTTTCAAGTGTTTGTTTGCACCTTTTACTATCCGTTTTACCAGGAATGATTTTATTTACAGAATTACTATCAGCAACATCCCCTGCTGATAAATTATTTGTACCTATTGCTACATTTTCTTCTGTATTTATTTCGCTACCAATTTTTACCAAATTATCAAGTTCTAATCTTGATGTTTTATATGTAACTTCATCAAAAATTACATCGCGTGCAACTATGAATTTTTCCGATTTTGGATCAAAAATTTTATATCCATTTGGCACATAACCGACAAAAATTCCCTTAGACGATTTACTATCGAATTTAGTTTTTCTAATTTTATTATGCACATAACATGTGCAGCCGAATATTTTTAAATTACCTATTTTCGGCTTTCTATTATGCCACATCTCATACGGTGTCTTATTCAATTTTATCGCTTTTGTTGGTATTTTGTTTACTAAATAAGTTGCAGTTAAAACTGCCTCGCCCCAGAAGCGTTTGTTTAGATCCGCGGTATGAATCATTGTACGTGCTTTTTCGATTATTGTTCTATTCATCCTTTCCGCTAAACCATTTTGTTGCGGAGTATATGGTACTGAAAGATGATATGTTATTCCGTTTTGTTTACAGAATTCCTTCATTTCGCCTGATAAATATTCTCGACCATTATCGCAATTCAAATTAGTTAATTTTGTATTGAAATGGGCCTCACTCTTTGCAACGTAATCTTTAAAATATGTAAACACTTCCGATTTATTTGACATTAGATAGGTTACGGTATAATGAGTATAATCATGAATAAAGTTTACGAAATAATTTTTATGATCTATTGTAGAAGGTGTTATCGGCCCACAAACGTCCGAATGCACAATTAATAGTGGTCTTTGTATATATCTTTTATTTTGGCGAAAGAAAGGCGTGTCTGTTTTCCGCTAATGCACGCTTCACATAACGCATTAATGGGGTTTATATCTTTTAAATAGATATTGTCCTGTGTACTAATTCACATTTTTGAATTTTAGAAAATTTGTCTTTACTTATGTGGCCCAACCGTTCATGCCACAATTTATTTTTATCAATAATTGTAACCGCAGCTACGTGGCCCGCAGCCCTTGCTGTATTGAACGCATTTTGTATTATTAATTTTATAATATACAAATTATTTATGCGCTTACCTTTAATCATTGTCGTGTTTCCTCTTTTTATCTCCACATTGCCAGTCCATGAATACCACCGACATTCCAGCCTCCTGGATACGCCTCACTGAGATGAGATTAGCCGGCACACTCTTACTGTAGAGGACATCTTGCAATTCTCCGCTGTAACCAAGGGTTGTGTTGCACACTATTCTTCCAATATGTGTTGCCTCGATGGTCGCTCCCTTTTTCGCCACAGTTATGCAAATGGGCTCTGCTAGCTGTTTATATTCTGTGAAGAGTCCCAAATCATTGATAATGTGTTCTGTTGCACCAGAATCTAACACAAAACTTCCTGATCCATCATCATCATCATGATTTAAGTTTTCATTACACATCATAAAAGCAAATGATTCCTTAATCACTGTTGTCGAAGCACTAACTTCCTGATTGTTCTTTTTCTTGTATTTTTCTTGCATTTTTACACTTTGCTTGTAAAAATAGCAATCACGTTTGTAAGAGGGTGAAAAAGGAGGAAGAGAGAAAGTGATATAAAGAGAGAGAGAGAG